GATTCAAACCGGACATATTGCCAAGATTATGCTCCTGACTGCAGATCAGAAATTGTCTAGAAATTCGATTAAAGGGGCTCCCTGACTTCATAACCTTCGATCAGTGACCACTCTGAAGCCCTGACCTAAATCCCATGGACGTCGCAGCGTGGTCAGCCTTTGAGATGAGAGCATGAGATAGCCCAAACAAGAAACGAAATAATCTCGAAAATACCTTGCAAAAAGCTGGGATCAACTCGATGACCTCAACTGCGTGCCACCGTCAATGCCGTCCATCGTCGTCTCTGGGGTTGGGTGAAAGCAGAAAGCAACAGATCCCAGTCACAATGTACTATTTTGATAAGAGATTAGTGATAGAAACTTCTATGAAATTGGTTTGCTTTTTTAACTTTCCATTCGTTTTTGGGGATGTGATATCTGTGTAATCATAATTCTGGCTCATCCTGTAGTATGAAGTGGTGCATCCTGAAAGGGGATCGATCAACGCCAGAAGACTTCACCCTTCGTCTTCCATCCTTCTGATTACCTTCTTGCAATGACATCTTCTAACCCTTCAGACAAAATTTATTGCAAACGGGTTAAAGAATCACTGTGAGGTGCGGATGAGATAGCGCCGATTGGCGCCGTTCCCATATTTGTAGTTCGGGGATCGAGTCCCGTACCAGTAGCCGCCAATACCGCTCAAGCCCATCTCTGCCAAACTACCCAAATTTATTTAACTTTTTCTAGTACTAGTACTAAACAATGATGCCTTGCCCGCCTTTACACGAGGAACTGCCTAAAAAACATGAGTATTGACAATCAACGATTGTGGGTGTGGCGCAGCTGAAATGATCTTTTCGGTAGTCCTGACCAAAGATGCCTAATCACAAAAATAAAAAGGGACTGCCCCAGATTCTCTGGGAGCATTCGTCAAGGAAAATGCTTTTCTGCGCATGTATCTATTCATGTTGCTTCCATTCACTGTTTTAATTTGAGTTTTCTTCTTGTTTCGATCCTTCTCCTCTCCCTGTTTCGCTTTCTCTCCCACTCTGTGCGCTCCTACTTCGTTCCCACTACCTTCTGGTGATGAAAAATCACAACCTCAGTTACCGACAGCTGACTAGTTACACTTTTCACCATATCATGTAAAAAATAGATGTAATAGGTCAGTAAGAAAGCTGAGGTGGGTGACCCTGATTGGTATAACTGCTTGCCTCCTAAAAACTCCAACAAGTAAGAAGAAGCAAAGTGTAGCCCAAAAATTCCTGTTCTAGCCGACCACTGCATCTTTGTCTGGTGTTCTGACTGTGAGATGGGCCGGAGTGGTGTGGTGGCAGTTGGATCACTATCACACACGCACGGTCGGGGGTTCGAATCCCGGATCAGAATCCGCCTATATCAACCAAGCCTTCCATCACTCCAGGGTCGGTAATTTGGTACCACACTCGTCTAGGAGGATAAAAGCACTGACTTGTACATCGGAGCAATTCTGAATGGAAGCCGAATGCGGAGCGCATCCCTCGGACCGAATTGATCAAAACCCATAGACTTTAATGTTTACTTCACTCTAACTGCGAGATATCAAGCATCCATATCAATGGAAAACTGCTGGTACGATTGGTCTCACTTTTAGGACTGGTGTTTTATTTACGGTCGGCTCACTCCAACTTCTGTGCTCACCATGTCTAGTAAAGAGGTGGGTACAGATTTGTGGCGTCGGAATGACCCAGCTATAATGTGTGACATCGCAATACTCCTTCAGGGTGGAGAGCAAATGGACATTGAAATCCCCATGGAAGAAGGGGAACCACTTGGAGCGACACCTAACGATAAGCTTATTATTACTAAAATACAAGGCGGTACCATTTCTGAAGGTAAATTGAAGGTACGTCAACTCGATGTTCTGACTTTTTGCAGTGAGGGTGAAATCTCTGACGTTGATCCGGTTGCAGCGTTGGTAGAGGCGTAGGGCAACTCGTACAATGACCGCCCATCTCCGCATTATGGGAGTGGTTGTCTCAAAAAAAATCTTCTTCTTATTACACTCTTCGCAAGACTTTTGAGACACAACACTTTTCAGACTAGCCGAATGCGGTCATACTTGGCGACAGGCGACAGGGATCCATACCATCAACGCAAATGCCCGCTGTCAAGGTGCCCCAGCTCCACTAACTCGGGTTGCTGATGGGGTGCATCAAAACGAATTATGGGGAGTAAGCGCCGTGCATAACAAATGGGGGGTTGCGGCATTCAGACCTGACGGCACATATCCGGGCTGCATGCCGTTTCTAATTTGGTGCTCTGATTCTCTGTAGGGAAGGGTTAGATCACAAACCGCCGAAGAAGTCGCTCGACAAGCCCTTGGGGACCTTAAGCATCGTTACGTCGAAGGAAAACAGTTCTTCAAGTTTGCCCCCCTCATCCCTTCAATCTAATCTGTGTTTCTGAAATATAAACGACGATCGAGGGTGGACTTTGGCTCGAACGCCTGATCACAACACAACACAGGCGAACAATGACACCACCCCACCACCAACATAAGCTTATTTCGTAGAAGGAAACATGTTGTTCATGAAGCTCTGCGTCCCGCCCATTTCACTTTACAATGAATTTGTAAAAACGGATTCCGATCCAATCCACAATCGTCGTGGGTGCCAGTATAAGAATGATAGTCATTTCAAAGGTCTATCAATCATACGTGTGATCGATATATTCTGAAGACGATAAGGTCGAGATAATTCAGGAGCTTTTCAGGTTGGCGATCAAATTCTCAAAGTGAATGGACAGCCAATTTCTGATCAAAACAATTTTTTTAAAGCACTTCGCTTTGCTCCACCAGTAGCGGTACTCACCATAATAAGGTGATTGGATATTACTTATTACCGTACACACTAAACTTGGTGGGACCCATGAAAAGAGTATTGGTTATTGGTTCCAGGGAATCGAGCACCATGCCAGCGTTCTGAGAAGTTAAAGTGAGAGGGAACGGTGCGATGAATCAATGGCGAACCATGGGAATACACCCTTGACAGACTAGCTGTTCGTGTCATACAGTATTGAGTAAATGAAGCGCTCGTCAAGTAAAAGGGAGACATTCTGGTCAAAGGGGGTAGGAATGAGGAATTCTTTCTCTGGGAAGTAGGGAGGTATAGGCGGAAAGGATAACCTCTGCGCAGAAGGAGGACTCGCATTCTGTGAAGAGCGTCATGCCCGTCGTACCCATACCTCAAAACTGTTTCTCCTCCTACGCTTTAGCCGGAATCCCCGGGCTCACAATTTCACTTCACCACTTTGCCCGCAAGTTGTGGAGGATCCCGTTCAAGAGCATGGTTCACGTTGAAATTGAATATTGTCCTGTAAGTCAAGACTCCATTTCAGCAAATAATAGGGTGGCAACAATGTTCGTTGGCCATTTGTAAACAGCGTCGCGTTACGCAACGCGTTGTGATTTTGCATAACGATTTCGTAATACTGAAAGTACTCTCGATTAGCTATCTTCTGAACTAGCTAGCTCCAAAATCCCTTTCCTGCTCTTCCCACAATAAAGCAGTAAAGATGAGTGATAGTCACCACCACCATGATTGCTGGACTACTGCATTCTGGGCATCTCCAGACGTCAGACTACGACCAGGATGTGTCAACAGTTTGGTGACAAAACCCCTCCTAAGAATTGGATGTCAAAATGGTTGACTCGCTTCATCAATGGAAACTATGGCATCGAAGATATGCCGAGGTCCGGTCGCCCAGCCACCGTCGATCGACAAGAACCCCAAGCCACCATCGATGAACCGACGTCGTCCTTGCGCGACTTAAGCAAGGTCACACAGGTACCCCGTTCTACAATCCACAAAGCCCTTATTGAATCTGGCAAGGTGTCGAAGAAGCGTCGAGTTGTCCCTCACGACCTCACGCCGGCACAGGCAAGGAAGCGGGTTGAGGTGGGCTCTGACAAACTCAGACTCAGAGGCCTGAGGGAAATTGTGGACTCCCTCATTTGCCAAGATGAGAAGTGGGTCCATTACTCCAATCCTGCCAGCAAACCAGTCTGGGTGGATTTCGATGCGCCCCGCCAAGCCGTGCAAAGAGAAATATGCATCGAAAGAAGCGCCTTCTGTCATTCTGGATCTCTCACCACGGCGTCGTCCACGACATCATCCTACCCAACAATGCCACAGTGACGGCAGAGACCCCCTCTAAAGAACTGCGGGAGGCCAAGGTAAAAGCTGCCGCCTTGTCCCAGAAACTTGCAAATCCGTGGTTGCTCTGGGACAAAGCTCGCCACCACAAGGCGAGAGATACTCAGGCCGTCATGGACAGGCTGGGCATCAAGACGGTCACGCAACCACCGTATAGCCAGGAAATCAGTCCATGCGATTACTACATCTTTCGGTCCATGCTAAAATTTGTTGGGCGGAAAACAGCTGAAGAACGAGCGCGACCTCGAGGACGTGATCGAGGACTGGGCCGGGTCGCGGCCGACCGGCTTTTGGGAGGATGGAGTTGCCTCTCCACCCGATCGTTGGCGAAAGGTGGTGGATATGCATGGAAATTATATCATGGACCAGTAAGTTCAACTTGGTGAGTTATCTTTACAAGCTCTGAAAAAACGAATGGCCAACGAACTTCAAGGACACCCCAATAATATGGAAATCAGCGCGATTGTAAGACCAGTTCGATATTGGTCTGATTGCATTATAATTCTGGACGGTGATCTTTTTTTTCAGGGATCAGAAGAAAGCTGAAGAGCTTGAGGCTCGCTTTAGAATTCCTGAGGAGCGCGCAAAGTTCATTCAAAGACGGGATGGCTTCCAGTACTTTGTAAGAGCTCCCCAGTTGTTCTTCTCAATTTCAATACCATTAGGAACAGGACGAGTTTTCAGTTGGCAAAACTGGTATGGGTGCCACATGGACCGAAACTTGGTCTCGGTATCAAGCACTTCCAGAATCGCGTACTTGTCTCACGTAGTGATCCCGGCTCATTGTCGGCTACTCAACTACAGGTAGGCATTTTCGAAACCTTCTAGCCGAAGACCGTAATTCAGGATCAGTCCGTCATAGATCGTCACAACAATTGTCCAAAATGCTTCAGTGGAAGGTTTGAGCCAAGAACGGGTTGCTCTCTTCTATTCGGGGGACGTCCGTTCCTATAGTTCGTCGAAATTTGGTCGCGTCGCCCATTTGGTGCGCGACACAGCCGACTGCGATCTCGAGATGACATCCGTTCCGTATCGCGGACAAGCGCGCCGCCTGTGACGCCTGCGGCGTGACCTAGTTTCAAAGGACGAATGCATTGACACGCACCCCTTCTCCCCAATTTTTGAGCTCGTTCAAACAAAAATCCAGGATCGAGTTTACAAGCGCTCCATTGCGCTGCATGAGGTCATCACCATCGCCTTACACTTTCGATTGTCGCTAACAGCATAGGTGGGTGTGGTGCAGTTGAATCGAAATGAGTCGCTCCGCGGCGAGAGCGACGTCGCGCACGAAGGAAACGGGAAACATGCTAAAAATTATAAACGCATATCGATCGACATCGTTTTCATAACACCGAACATCGAGCGGACGGAACGAGTGCTGGCCGAGTTTGACAGTGCTTGTGGAAAGATCGGATTGAGACTGAACTTAACGAAGACAATGTTCATGAAAAACGGTTTGGTACCTGATGCTCCCTTCACGCTAAACGGAAAGAATTTCTCCGAATGCTCTAGCTATGTGTATCTAGGTCGAGAAGTCAACATGATGAACGACCTAGCTCCGGAGCTGTGCAGAAGGAAATGCGCCGCGTGGGGAGCATTTAAGAGTATCAAGGGAGTAGTGAAGAAGGCAAAGAACATCCGGCTCCGCGCTCACCTTTTCGACACTGCTATTCTTCCTGCTTTGACGTACGCCTCAGAGACTTGGACTCTACGAAAGCAGGATGAGCATGCTGTCAGTGTTGCTCAACGCGCTTTGGAAAGGACGATGCTCGGAATTTTCCTGTACACGCAAGTGCAGAAGGGAATCCGGAGTTCCGAGCTCCGTCAACGAACGAAGATCAGGGATGCCGTTGACTACGCCAAGAAATCGAAGATCAGGTGGGCCGGACACGTTATGCGATATAGTGATGACCGTTGGACCGGGGCGGTTACTGACTGGATCCCTCGGGACATCAAACGAACTCCAGGAAGGCCGCCAACGAGATGGTCAGACTTCTTCACGAAAGCTCTGAACGAAAGGAATGTTGATCCTCGTGTCCCTGGAGCGATTCATTGGACCACTCTGGCTCGTAACAGGGACGAATGGAGACGTTACTGGCGCCCGCTCGAGGAAATCGACGATCAACGGGACGACAGGTGATCAGGTGATCGATCGAGCTGTATGACGAACACTAGGACTGCAACCACACCAGCTTTCAATTGCCGCGTGCGGCGAGCCGATTACACAAAACCGATTCAACTGCCCATTTCCCGCGTCTCATTGCAAAAGGCCATACGAATGGTAGTTCGAAAGTTATCTGGGGGATGGGGAGGTTAGACGAAAGCCTCCTACATCATTTTTCAACAAAAACACGCTTGAGGTAGCTATCTATTAGCATCAGTGACGACTTTGGAAAACTCCCTTTCAGGTTGGCGACCATATTATCGATATAGATGGTGTACCTGTGACCGATAAGGATGTCGCCAGAGATTTGTTAATCAAATCACTGCAGGTCAGCCAAAATCTTTCGAAACTTGTCCGAAGCTGAGCGAATTGATAGCAAAATCATATTGATCAGCACACCCAAAAAGATCCTACTATACATAACGCGCTAAATGTGTCTGTTGGTTTGTGTGTCCGCGTGCATGTGTAAGTGCATGTGCGTGTGCGTGTGCGTGTGCGTGTGTGTGTGTGTCTGCGTGCGTGTGTGTGTATGTATGTGTGCACGTATGTGTGTGTATGTATGTGTGCATGTGTGTATGTATGTGTGTGTCTGCGCGCGTGCGTGTGTGCGTGTACGTGTGCGTGTGCGTGTGCGTGTGTATGTGCATGTGTGTGAATGGGTGTGTGTGTGTCTGCGTGCGTGTGTGTGTGCATGTGCGTGTGTGTGTGTGTG